CTACCCTTCTCATTGGTTTGAATCGACCGTGACGAATAAAATTATAAGACTTGTTTCTTGATGAGTTTTTAATCAACACTGAATGATAATGGTTAAGAATAGTTTTATACAAAGATGCAAACAAGTAAACATGAATTTTCAAATTCAGCCTATATAAACAACATCATCGTGTGCATTAGGATGTGATATCCCGAAATAATAACAATTCAGGAACAACCAAATTTTATAATAGAATATCTAAAAGTTTGATAATAGCACAAAAATCCTGTATCAAAAGTATGTTTTTATAATAAAGATAGATCCTTAAAAAGTCAAATGTTGAAAATACCAAACTTCAAGGAAATGAAATACGTCAATACTGTCACAAACATTGCAAACGAGTTGGAACAGATACTCATCACAAGACAATTACAAACAATGATCAATGTTTACAAGGGGAAAAATCAATAACTGGACACAGTTTTTCAAACGTATCGTTAGGCTAACGTTGTTGTTAAACTGTCGTTAGCCAGTCGTTAAATTAAATTTGATTGTTCAGTGTTGTTAAAAATGTTTAACGCTTAACCCAGTCGTTAAATCTGTAACAAACCTAATCACGGCATATACCTGGATTTAATGCATTACACAGTGTTAAAGATGACTGTCTTAGATCACTTCTATGTGCCAGTTAAACGCAAATAAAGAACATTCAGAAGTCAAGATGAACTTTCATTCAACTACACAGAAATAAGAGCGCGAGAAATAGATTTTGACGGGAAGGCATTTTATACTTATCCAATCTAGTCAAGGACAAGTTATCTCATCAGACAAATGAACCTTGCTCTCAGTGTAAAGCAACATATTAAGGTGACAATGAGATTTCTTGCCAGTGATTGTTTCCTCCAAGTCATAGGTAACATATTAGGTAAATATATTGTCATTTACATTTCTTTACTTATGTTTAATTTCAATTCGAGAACTTTTAGCATATATAAGTACTAATTCGTAGTATATATGCATTTATTGTTGCATTGTTTCTTTCATACTATACAGTACATATATGTTTTCATGTTAACAAAGTAACTAGCCAGTAATTATTATAATATAGATGTGCATGTCTAATTTGTAGATTTGGACCACAGTGTTATGAGTGGTTGATTCTGTTTTAGATCCCCTTTGTGAAAAGAGAAGCGCGTGCATTCGGTGGCCTAATAAACCGAACCAACGCTGAATGTTACGAGATTGCTGGGTTTCCAAACATTGTACATGTAGGTGCTGTTGATGGGACACACACAAGAAAAAAGAGCCCGCAACATTAAAAAACATCATTTATTAACAGAAAAAAACTACACAAACTTGAACATTCAAGCAGTATTTGATGCAAAGGGTAATGTTCTTCTGTTTTCATAAACCAGTTAAACTATTGTCTGTTCAATATAACGAAGTCTTTTCATGTAACTCAGCCCTGAGAAATTTTAATAGTTTTACAAATCCCAGCCGTTCTTCATAAATAATTCAATACCGTTTTCCAACAAATACTTACCAGATTAAACAATATTTTATTTGTTTTGTTTATTTTGTTTTCAAGGACATTTTAAACAAATAGTATAACGTATACATTAGTAATAACCACCCCCCTCGCCCCCCCCCCCCCCCCCCCTCTTTCTATGTTGTAATATACAAACATTACAGGAAATAGGTCCGATGTTTTGGTTCATATCATACCTGTATATACCGTATTATACGTCTCTGATATCATCAATGAAATAAATGAACACCCACCTTATAATTTATGTTAAATAAATAAAAGGAGATGTGGTATGATTGTAAATAAAATATCTTGGAACAGTTCCAATTAAATTAATAATCAGGTATATTCTTTACTACAAATACATTTTCTCATGCAGGTTTGTGCTCACATGCAGATAAATCGCAAATGGAAAATTGGTATCTTACTTAGCGAAAGTGGCTATACAGGCAGGTCTTTTAAATGACACTTTTTTAATCCTAATGAACAACAACATGGAAGGTACATCTACAACCGATGTCATGCGGTCACAAGATCTGGGACATTCAGATGAAAGAGAAGGTTCAACATTCTGAAGTGAGTGATTATTTAGTTTTTCTGCTGTTTCTCATTAGTTGGAATATTTTTTGTCTCTAAATTGGGAATCATAATACTGGTACATAATGTATCTTTTTTTTCAAATAAAGAAATACTTGTCATGAGTAAAGTTTTATCCTATCCAGTGCTACAGACAAACATTTACTTAACATTTCTTTGCATATAAGAAAATAACCATCACTGGAAGTAAACAAATATTATTTTCTGTTTACAAGCATAAGTAACCATGTAACCTCAAGTTTTCGAAATTACCTATGGTGCTTTAAAAAAAAACAAGATATATGTTGATGACTCAGAAACTATCAAATTTAAAAGAATATATTTTTCGACCCTTTTTCGTATGCAACCGCATGTGACATACTATGATTTGGTGATATTACAACTTTAAAATTAATATTACAAACTTGTACCATTTTTTGGCTGTTACATATGTAGAAATAGATAGCACAAATCAGTTATTATAGGTGTAATACCACCATTGATTGTCCCCTATTAGTCTTTGTTAAATTTGCACTTTTCAAAAATTTGTGCAGAATTTATCTTTGTTTCAAATAAAGAAATACTTTACATGAGTAAAGTTTTATCCTCTCTAGTACTATAGAAAAAATTTCACATAACATTTCATTGCATATAAGAAAAAAACCATCACTGGAAGTTAACCAATCAAATTTTCCCCCTTTTTTAACCTGTGTACAAGCTTTTGTAACCATGTTACCTCAAGTTTCCAAAATATTCTATAGAAACCCAAAATAAAAAAAAAATGGTGCTTTGAAATACCCAACATATATGTTTATGACCCAGAAATGTTTTACTGAAATGAAATGTAGGATCAATTACCTACAACTGTCAAATTCAAGGGGATATTTTTTTTCGACCTATGCAACCGGATGTGACGTACTATGATTTGGTGGTATTACACCTATAGGATTAAACGCCTTTTTAAAGAAATTGATTGGTGTATAAACTCGACCAATTTACTCACAAACAAATAAAAGTCCGAATTCCTTTAAAAAGGCGTTTAATCCTAATAATTCTTTAATATTTGAGATAAGGAATTTATTTTTCCACGCTAGTAACCTCTGTCATACGCAAGTTGTATATTTGTGTCATTGAATTGACCAGGCGCATGAATATATTTGTTGGTGAACGCAAAAATATGTACTCCATGAAATTTGCTATCTAATAAAAAATAAACTACAAATACATCTTATTATCATTCAAATGAATGTTTTGTGTTTATTATTTAATTTAACGATTAACGCGAAGAGAAAATGAATATTTTCAACGTCGAGCCGGATTGTGTCATTTTCGCTGCCATCTTGTTTACATTGGTTACAAAAAGTAGTTCTGTCAACGTCGTCTATCGAAAAAAAACAACGGCAAGAGCCAATACCGGAAGTCCTCTCGACCAATCATATATGCGTATTCCCTAATATGCAAATCATTTAAGAATTATCAAGAGAGAGACAAAAAACACCATTAATTTAAAGCCTTTACACGAATCTTATTCTTCCTTCTGCTATACACTCTTGTGTAACCCTGAAGTAGCATTATAAGAGCCAGTTAACAAGGATGTAGAAAATGGAATCATCTACAATGGGAAACAAGATGGAAGAAGGATAAGGGAACACTTTGCTTCAACTTATTTTAACCGTCATTAAAGTTAAAGCATCTATCATGTCTGTTGCACTTTCTTCATTTTTTATATCATTACAAAAAAACTGCAGCATGAGGACTATATATATGTTTTCATAGTAATGTTAAGTTTTAAATGGTCAAGAAAAGTCAGTTCTGACAATTGCCAAAATCGTGCACCAACAATTAAAAAGAAACTAAAATTAAAGCATTTCACCCTTGCTCGAAAGGCACTTGAGTTGTGGCTGATCAAGTTAAATTGTGCAGTGTTAAGATTTTATTTTACCGCAATTTCTTAATCATTAAATATCAATTTCTCAAAATAGCAGAAAACATTCAGATATTCATGAGACAACAACTGACATGTTTCGTGACTTTTGACGCTATGAGCACCTGGATATGTTTTAAGATTATTGTAACTACTGTTTTCAGAAGTTTATAATTTAGTCGTTTAACTATCGGGGCCGAGTGGTCTAAGTAGTTCTACTACTGTAATCTCTAACCAGTCAACAAAAATGTTGTGAGTTCGAACCCCGCTCGAGCGGGTGCACTCGACTCCAATCTTAATTGACTAGGAATGTCAGTTTTCCTATCGAAGGTCGGTGGTTTTCTCCTGGCACTCCGGCTTCCTCCACCAATAAAAACTGACCGCCACGAAATAGCCAAAATGTGGAGCTTAAAAGTGGTGTTAAAACACCAACAATCAACAATCAATCGTTTAGCTATCCTTGCCCAAAGGATCAGTGTGGCATATTGCCATTGCTTGTCACGTCTGTTTCCATCGAACTAGAAGATTTGGTATGCTTTCTAATGAGACAAAATACTTTACAGTTCAAATGACATATATATAAGCACTTACAGGACACTGTACACCCTTCAACAATTTTAAAAATCAATAAATTATAGTTGTACATAGAAACATGTTTGGTGACTAATTAAATTAGACTCAACATTAGAATAATCATCTCTTAACATCAGTTTGAAATTATCACAATTGACATCATCAAAATGTCAACACCTCTTAACTGTTAGGGCTACATAAATGAAGAAAAAACAACAACACAAAATCCAAATTGCTAACAGTCTTTATTAAAAAGAATTAAATACAATATGTGATAGTTGAAAATAAATCAATATAATATATGTAGCTTATAATTAAATGGATTTTGTAATAAAAATTGTATTTTTGAAAAAGGTAATTAAAACAAGTCAAACATGAAAGTAAATACATTCAAAACATCTAAATATAAAACGGCTAAAACATATTCTCATGTTTTAACATTCACTGCCCTAAAATATATTCTCATGTTTTAACATTCACTGCCCTAAAACATATTCTCATGTTTTAACATTCACTGCCCTAAAATATATTCTCATGTTTTAACATTCACTGCCCTAAAACATATTCTCATGTTTTAACATTCACTACCCGAAAACTGATAGTAGTTTAAGGGCATCTATCGGTTTTAGGGCATCATAATCCAAATTGTCTTACTTGCAACGCAATTGTTTTAGGAAATATATTTGCAGTATGTTCTTCTTAAGTTCTTTTTTTCAGGAACTGCGCATTATAACAAATACACATTATCAGATGTTTCTTCTTCTTGAGTGTTGGATGTATGCTGTAAGAAAAAGAGCACAATGTTGGAAATTATCAATAACCAATATAAGAGTTTATTTACATATTCATGTTTTGGCAAATTTTCAACAGTCCTTTTTTGATGGAGTGTGTCTTTAGAGTGGTATTCTAATGGGACACTTATATCCTGCTTTTTATTTATCTTGTTTGTGTCTGCTCATTTAAAATATAAGTATCCGGAGGTGAATATCGTTGTTAGTTTTTTGTTTCTGTTTTGTATCAACCCAATGAGTTAAGCTCTGTTCCTATGTTGTGCTGTAACATCGCTACATGTCCCAGGTTGGCATAACATTGACCGCTCACAAAAATGTTTGAACGCGCAACATTCTGTTTTGTTATAAATTATGCCATTGATTTTCATTACTAGCCGACTATACAGTATGGATTTCTCATTGTCAAAGGCAGTTAGGTAACCTATAATTGCTTTTATAACCTTTTTTTTAAATTTGGTGAAAGTTGTATCGTTGTCAAGCATACTACATCTCCTTATTAGTATATCTTGCATCTTTAGAGTGATCAGTTTTTAAAGGCTATTGTAAGGTATGCGTTTGACCTTTTTTAGTGAATTCATATGATTTTCTTGTTTTCTATTAAAAGCCTTAATCCAGATAAAGTTTATAAATTCATTCTCAATGATTTCTATATGTACAAGCTTTTTAAAGAAAAAATGTAGTTACTATTTTGACAATTTTACCTACTATATTTGTTTGTTTTGTTCACACATCGTAATCAAGATAATGGAATTCTGTGCGACTGACTGTCATACAAGTGAGAGGTTTAGAGAGCTACAAAACCAGGTTTAACCACCATTTTCTTAGTAAGACAATGCCTGTACCATGTCAGGAATATGACAGTTGTAATCCATTCGTTTGATGTGTTTGGGCTTTTGATTTTGCCATTTGCTTAGGGACTATCCGTTTTGAATATTCTTCGGAGTTTGGTATTTTTGTGATTTTACTTTTCATCATGATTGATCCTGAAAATGAAATTTGTTATCCTTGATTTTTTCAACCTGCAATTGGTAGATATTTTGTTTCTCTAAATTTTTCACCGAACACAATAGGAAATCATAACTGTTGAATGTGTATAGACTATGTCTACTGTCATGAAATGAAGAATTTCGTATAGTAAATGTGTAATAACATTACCTGCATGCACTTGATTATCTTTCAATATGTGTCTGATTACTGGACAAGCGTCATTTATATCAATCCATTCAGCATCATCTGTTACTGGGAAGGTCTGCTGATTGTTCTGCAAATTTGAGCGATGACTGTCTAAAGCTCTAATCCAGACAGCATGGAGACTGGCTTCCATTTGTGACAGGATTTGCTTCTAAAATGTAAAGTGAAGAAACAGAAATAGAAATTATTGTATTTTGTTTTCATTTAAAACAGTTGAAACACACTGACTATAACCGGTATGTTTTATATGTGACATGATGATAAATATCATAGTGGTAGAATCTGAAACATTTTTTTGTTTTATTTTAAAGTATAATATATTGTTATTTTTAAAGATATTTTAAAAAAATATTATTATTTTTCTACCTGTGCGAATTTCAAACGCGCGATTTTACGCCAGTACTTAAAACCTTCCATCCTTTATGGGTGGATTTTACATAGATAAATAAAATCGTATAATATAAGCAAAATGAGGATGTTAAATTTGATGTATGCCTTTTTGTGCTTCTTCGTTACATTTGATTGTTTTATAGTGATTAAGATGATAATACAATGTTGACTGCTGTACCCCTATTTTTGACATTTTTACCTATAGTGTCTGTTTGTTTTGTTCACGCATCATTGTCAATATAATGGAATTTGATGCGACTGTCATACAAGTGAGAGGTTTAGCTAGCTATAAAACCAGGTACAATCCACCATTTTCTACATAAGAAAATGCCTGTACCAAGTCAGGAATATGACAGTTGTTATCCATTCGTTTGATGTGTGTGTTTTTTTGATTTTGCCATTTGATTGGGGACTTTCCTTTTTGAATTTTCCTCGGATTTCAGTATTTTTGTGATTTTACATTTTAAACAATTGATTGATGGGTAAGAACAATGTGTTTCTAAGAGTTTGCCCTTTTTTATATCTTTGTTGGTGCATAACGCATACGCATACAGTTTGAAGCAACCAAGCAGCACATGTAGACGTAAAACAAGATTTAATGTGGCGTTCACTCGCGTGCACATCATGTTAACGACAAGTTTACCCTCCGTTTACTCCCAAATTGTAGGAGATATAAATAGTAAACGGGCGCTTACTTCCTCGTTTACTTCCGCGTTAAAGTGGAATGGCGCGTCTTCTATTTTTTTATAGAGTGAACGCACGCTTTCTGCTGGATGGTGGGTTACGCTAATGACTGGATCAATGACAGGACAATGACGATTACTTCTTTTTATTTTTCATAGGATTTATCTTAAATATGAAATATAATCATATTTCATCATTTTATATTTAAGAAAATATTAAAAAATTGTTCGTCTCGAAGCCTGATAATTTGATACTTTTTACACTTTAGAGTGGATTGTTTGACATAAAAGTGAAGAAATGTAAGTTTAAAATTACAAAATTTGTTTTTCAGTACAAAGAAGTTCCCATATGTTCCTCAATTGTTAGAATATTATACAATAGCATTAAAATCTTGTTCTTTTTGATACCACATAATGAATAGTTTTAAACCAATTGAGAGCTATGTTAGTTTATGGTTATTACTATTGATGTCGATAAAGTGACAATATTTCTTTTTTATATAATATTCTTGTTCTTGCCAGATAATTGAGTACTTATTATACCTCAGGATGAATAGTTAGACACCAAAGTGATAGAATTTAAGTTAAAATTGCATTATTTGCTATCATATAAAAAAAATTGTCATTATTTTTCATTTTGGTTGAATATTATTCAATAGCATCAAAACTCTGTTCTTTTGTTTTCTCAGGAAAATATGGAGAGCTCTAGAATTATATGGTTACTAATATCTATGTCAATAACAATAAAAAGTGACAATATTTCTTTTTTTATTTATTTCTACTCTTGTACTGGCCTGCTTATTGAAGTCTTTTCTACATCATAATGTATTGATAGACATAAGAGTGAAGAAATTAAAGTTTAGAATTGTTTTTGCATTAATATAGTGAGTCGGTGTTTTAATTTTTGTAAAATTTTATGTTACAGCAATAACATTTTATTCTTGTATTTTAAGGACATTTTACACTAATTGAAAGCTCTATAACGCTACGGATGATTATAAGTATAATCAGAAAAATAAAAATGGCCAATATTTCTTTTCACATAACAAAACCTTGAACAATTGTAATGGCGCGATGAATTCTCTTTTTATACCTTATGATGGATTGTTTGACATGAAAACTGATTTATTTCGACGATTTTAATTTTAAATAAAACAATTTCTTATGTATTCAGGGATGAACAGGTTTAATAAAATCGTTTACATAAATGTCGATCAACTAAATCATTTTTTAAATTCAGTAAACCATAAAACTATGGCAAATATGTTGAAAGTAGTGTAATGTCTAAATAAACAGTTTCAAGGATCTTTTTATATAGTCTTTTTTTTCCAAGTCTTGAAATAATTCCTAGTATAAATCTACAGTAAGGAATATTGTTTTGCAGAATTTACTTATCCAATAATTTCTGAAAATATCTTTAAGCGATATTTTTTATTAATCATTTGCAATATATAAATAAGCAAGACAAAGTATATTTATAATTTTCACAAATGGTGAGCGGGAATAGTAAACGCGTGTTTTCTAAGTTATCGTACATGTGAAGATGTTAAATATTTAGTAAATGCCGTTTACTACTGACCTAACGGACACATAGTAAACACGCGTTTACTTTAGTAGACATTAGCAATTTCCATTTTGATCGTGTTAACGTTATTGTAGTAAACGCGGGTTTACTTGTAAAAGCGAAAATTAAAGTTAACAAATAAAAAATGTGAACGCATCGTTAACATGCGTTTACTTTATGTCCTGCTTGGCCTGCATCCAACTGTATGAATGATGACTTCGTGGTTATGTTAAAAGAGACATAATGCTTGTTTGCTTGTATTTCTCTGTTTGTTTGTTTCTTTTTATTTTCTTTAGTTCTTTTACTGATAGGAGATCAGTATGTAAAGACCCCTTTTGAAAGTAGTACTATAATGAGGTTTTTTTTTCTAAGTAAAAGTACAAAGAGGAATAACTCAATAATTCATTTACCAGCAATAAGAAACAGGCTACAACAGTTTCATCACTTCAAACCAGTTTTTGATTTTTGAGTCAAATCTCCGTATACATTTATTTTTATATGTAACAAGAGACAAACAAGCGGCTAAAGTAAAACAGCACGATGCGGAAGTTGGTTTTGCAGCCAAAATAAAGATTTGTAGAGGTTATATATTGTTTTAAGGATATCAGAATGTAAAGAGAGTAAGTTGATGATTCAATTCTTTAAATTCAAGTGACGACTAATGACACAAATGTATGATTATGACGGTAGATTGGCATATATTTTTAGAACATGTCACGGTCAAAGATATTTGAAGCGAGGAAATCCAATACTATGTGAAACACTTCTGTCAAAGCAGACAATTGTGATCGTGAACTTATTTCTGCATTCACAGGTTGAAAAATCAAACCTGAAGTTTATAAGTCAAAATAAAAAAACGAAATTGAAGTAACAATTAAATAAATAAAAAAACAAAACATACCATTACAAGGGATATCTGCTTCAATGCCACCAACTTCGCTGAATGAGGCATTCACAAATTTTTCCTTATCAATGCTAAGCTGTGTAGGTGGTAGTCCACCTCCTGTATTGTCCATTTCTTGTCTGGAGTAAGTGAATTTCTCCTTTGCCTAACGACACATATTTCCATATTTGTTTCTTGCCTCTCCAGAGGATGAATAAGTATTTCTGTTCCTTGGCAATTCCTTTTTTTTTTTTAGAAATATCAGCCATATTGGTAACAAGAAGTGGAGAATTGCTGTATATTATGGGATACAATTTAACATAAAACAAAAATTAACGACTCTTAACGCAGTGTAAGTTAACATTGTCGTTAAAATTTTTTGAACAATACATTTTAACGCATGTGTTAGCTAGCGAATTTGTTCACATTTAGCACTAAAATAACCAGGCAAAATGTCTGCAATATACTTTGAAAATTCCTAATTATGTTATGCAACAAACTGTTTTAACTATATTTAATGAAACTTAAAGTTCATTTAAATTTGACCAAAACAATGCGGGAACAAGTGTAGCATTTAAAGTGTAAAGAAGGTGTCCAATTGAATACCTACAACTGTTCCCGTTAATTTGTTCTAAAAAATATATTCAAATCTACCGAAGGAATTTCTCATATATGAAATAGAGATGAGAAAATAGGTACTTATGTTGACCACCTTTTTCTTATAATATATAGACTGTTTTAATTCAAAAGGGTAGGGTAACATTCTGAGTGATCCTTAGTTAATGAAATGTAAATTTAGATTATTGATTTCTATAGAAAATAATTAAACACATATATCATGTATATACTATATACATCTTCATAAAATTCGTTGACTTACCTATTTGTTTTAAATCTGAGGATTTAATCCGATTGCAGCAATATCGTTAATTAAGATTAAGTTAATGTATATCAATAACGACGGAAAGACTATTAATCTTACCTTAACACTGAAATCAGTATGCTGTTATTGTTAAACCCTTGATGATGAGATTCGTCAAGTGTCTTTTTACCTACATAAATATATACGTTAGTTTATAACCGAATACATAGTAAGTTGTATGTTTCATTCACTAAGCAATGAGGTCCTGTTTCATTTTAGTCAAGTACTAGGAAATCAGAAAGACAATTTTAAAGTGGACCGCCCAGTAGCCTAAACATAAATGTAATGACACAAAATACAGGTAATTCGTACAATTGCTGATTGACAATATAAAAAAAAAAAAAAACGTACATCATGTACATTTGTATTAACCAACAGGTTTTCGAAAGCTTTAAGAAATGTTTTTTTTTTACTTTTGACGTTTTAGAAATTGTGTATAAATGAACATATTTTACATTATCGTCTTTAAATTTGAAAGATGGTTTTGTATACTCCAATTATATAACATTTTAACAATATCACATTATAATTTTACAGATCTGTGATAATATTGTTGGTTTCATGATAAAAGCAATAAAGTTGGCGTGGTTGTAGTTCTGGGTATGTTTAACAATATAAGCTTTGAACCAACCTTTACATTGAAAACTGGCGGCTATTATCAAGATGGCCGCCTTACAATATCATAATCAACATACATGTATATAACTTTTATAAGGTCTCATTTAAGGTAAAATTTGGCGTTTCTGAAATATTCAGCCATGACCCAAATTTCAATTCAGTATGGTGGCTTTTCGAAGATGGCCACCAAAGAATATCAAAATCAACAAATAGTCCTTATATAAGATAAAATTTGCCATGTAGTAGTGTTTGGTGCTTTGAACAAAATAAGCTATTGACCCAAATTCAAATTTCAAATATGGCCACTTTTTTTTTTAAAATGGCTGCCATCAGATATAAAAATTAGCAAATATCCCTTATAGAAGGTTTCAAAGTGTTCTGTTTTGACGTACTTACGGTAAAACTAAGTGCCCTGTTTTGACAAGTGTATGTCACATTTAAATACTAAAGCAAAACATCATAAGAAAGAAAAGAATAGAATGTAAGGCCATTTACAAGGCAGGTTCTGGCTTCTTCTGTTTAATGATTAGTTTGGTCTTGTAATCAAACAAGCAACCGCTACAATATATTTGTTTGTTTTTATGGTGATTACGATTATAACACAACACAATGTTGACTGCTGTACCCAATTTTTTTTAGATTTTTACATATTGTGTATGTTTGATCGTTGTCAATATGATGGAATTGTATGCGACAGTCATGCAAGTGAGAGGTAAAGATAGCTATAAAATCTAGCTATAAAACCAAGTTTAAATCTCATTTTCTACATAGGAAAATGCCTGTACCATGTCAGGAATATGACAGTTGTAATCTTTTCGTTTCATGTATTTGAGCTTTTGATTTTGCCATTTGCTTAGGGACTCGTTTTGAATTTTCTTCGGAGCTCGGTCTTTTGTGGTGATACTTGATTGAAAAGATGCATATAGTTTAAAGAGACATTCTGAAGGCAAAAGTATTTTCCACAGCTATTAAAACATTATTTAATAAACGTTTGGCCAAATGTTTAGATGCTAATGCGACGGTATACATTTCAAAGTTAGTTCTGTTTGTTTTTTCTAATCTTTGTAATATGACATTCTGATCTAAACCCTTAATGTATATACGCTTTTTTCTACATGATACCGTTTAAACTTTACTCTATAATAACAATTAAGACTCCATTGTGGAGTGGAATAATGATACAACAATAATATAATAATTATTTTAATTAATAATGAAAATGACACTAGCTCGATGATTCATCTTTCCCTCATTATGTCTATTATATATCAACTGTGGTTTGTAATTAACATTGCATTAGACATTGTTAGACATAGCATACATATTATTGACAAAGAAAATCGACAAAACAAGACAAAATGATAGGATTAGTTATGTGGAGTCATTGATATGTTTTATTATAATTTGTGTTCAAATATAATCACTAAAAATGGGATTTGTTGTCATACAGGTATGATAGAACATATGCTTTTTTTTAACCAGAGGACCAGTGTCGTGTTTAAATAAAAAAAGTTATTTAAGAACACTTTGATATTGAAAGTGACTAACACAAGAGCCTCTGAAAAACAAGATTTGGAGACGATATATTGGTATCATTTCACAAAATTATTTTAAGAGTTTAACTTAATAATCCTGTATATGCCATTCATTAATATCATGATGGACTACGTATCAAACTTCTGTCATCATCTTTCATAATATCACGGTAAGTCACCTAAACCATACAAAAAGAAATATTTTGAACGAAATATAATTAACAATGAATCAAATATTAACAAAACAAAACACCCTGCGGACAGTATTTTAAAACTAAACTCTGTTGAATTAATGTCACAACCCAACAAAAAAGATAACATTATACCCGTAAAATAGATCTACCGAGTTAGACTTATTTCCGTATTTTTTTACCTACATGAGCAACACGACGGATGCCACGTGTGGAACAGGTTCTGCTTACCCTTCCGGAGCACCTGAAATATCCCACGTTTTTTTTTTACTACAGACTGATTCCCATACAAATATGAAAAGTTTTTCAAACGATCATCAAATTTCATTTCATCATAGTGTATTAAATTGCTTAACAGTTTATATTTGAGACAACATGTTAGATATATATAACACATTACGCTCTGTAAATAAATATCCAAATTTACAAATCAGTCAGTGGTTTAAATAAAAATTATATGAATATCTATATCGTAAAAGTATATTCGCCAATTGTTTTTAATAAAACAAGCAAAGCAAAGGAAAAAGAAAGGAAATAACTATATCATTGATTTTTTAAAGCCATGTTACACCTTTCTGAAAGAAGGTTAAAGCTGTCCCACTTCTTGAATCACATTTAGCAATTGACAACGAGGGTCGGTTAAAAACAGAACTTTATGACAAATTCGATTATATCAGCTTTACAATTGTGAATTGTGTGTTTCTATGTAACTACATTAAGCGGCGCCTTCATACGGAGTACACATCTCCCAGTTGGAACGATATTCAAGGACTATTGTTTCCTATCATGATTTCCTTGGTAGACTGTTACTGCTCACAGATGCAATTCAACCAAGTGTTCTGTGTAGTGAAGTTGAAATCGTCTTTTTGTAAGTTTTATGGAATTATTGTTTCACAGATGAGATGATAGCGGATATGTTCCCAATGCCGTAAATTCAGTCCCGTCCTATTTTCCGAATTGATCTACCGAATAAGACTTATTTCCGGGTTTGTACTTACATGAGCAACACGACGGATGCCACGTATTGAACAGGATCTGCTTACCCTTCCGGAGCACCTGAAATCACCCAAGTTTTTTGTGGGGTTCATGATGCTCAGTCTTTAGTTTTCTATGTTGTATTGCGTGTACTATCGTATATCTTTTGGACTTTTCCTGTTTTAGTCATGGTCTTGTAAATTTCGGCTTATGAGTTTGAATGTCCCTCTACTATCGTTTGCCTCTCTTTTATCTCAAACGGGAAAGTATTACACAACAACAAGTTCCAAAATGCGGGAAATCAAATATTAAAGATGGCTTTCAGAAAAAGCTAAATAATATAAGAGATGTGTTGCCCAAGGTATATTTAAGCTCCTGAACATTTGTATTAGGTGTGTATTGTAATAATCACTGAAAGGCATTAATATCCTTATTACGCATATAATATTTGCAGTAGAATTGCTGCAATAAATATTATTTTTTATTCAACAGTTGTTGGAGGATCAAGTAACAAATAATAGAAAACAAGCATTTTTTTAAAGAAGGTCCCAGTATTTTAAGATAGCCATTACGTGTATATATAAGAATAATTACTGAGATATGAAAATAATGATAACATGTTAATTTGATAATTGAAACAAAAAAGTAACAAATGGCAGAAGATATTTGCTTTAAGCGCCGAAAGTAACGTTTTTTAAGGAAATACATTTTCAAAGCTGCATAAAGGTACTTCAAGCTAAAACTTGCCAACATATTTAACTTTACAAGACTGTTGACATTGCTTTGAATTAAAATATATTGATCTACTTTTCAATGGTTGCACAACTGGGCTTCCAAAATAAATTGTAATAGATTAAATTGTGAATAGGATGCATGATGTTAGATGAACTTTAAAAATGTTAACAAACAACGTGGATCGCATGACCAATAAATATGTTATATACAACCTACTGAGTATGCCAAACTTTGAATAAAGCAGTAAGAAATTTGGTATAACGGACTCGTATTGGAATTCCCGTCAATAAGAAAATCATCCAAAAAGTAAAATCACAAAAATACTGAAGATAAAACACATCAAACGAATGGATAACAACTGTCATATTCCTGACTTGGTACAGGCATTTTCTTATGTAGAAAATGGTGGATTGAACCTGGTTTTATAGCTAGCTAAACCTCTCACTTGTATGACAGTCGCATCAAATTCCATTATACTGACAATGATGCGTGAACAAAACAACCCAAACCGACGCAAAAAGTTGTATATGACAACAAACGTTCTTGTTTTGTCTTTTGAGCGATGTTGCTACATATTTATCTAGAGAAATGGCCTTTTTACATCATCTTTTAATTGTGAAAGACACGTTTTAAGGACAACTATTAGCCGAACTTGATTTCTTTCTGACTGACCTATTTATCTGGGAAAAAATCAACACTTCAACAAAAATGTTTACTTCAGTCTTTTTTTCGGAAGCACACAATGTGGGTACGTTTCCAGAATCATACAAACCAGGCAAATGAATGTGTCAAGGCAAAATAAGCGAGGTGTTAAACTATAATTTGTATAATAAATGATTCCGTATCTAAAATAAGTAAACGTATTCAAATTTCATATCATTCTTGTTTTGATCTCAAAATGATTGATCAGAAATAAGACGATTGTTTTTAATAATGCTTAAACAGATTCAAATACCATAAACAATGAGAGAAATGTAATATCTTATATTTATAATTGTAGTATGTTGAAAAAAAAATCAGTTTTTTACGACCACAACTAAATGAAAGTTTCAAATTTCGAAATATTGATATTAAAGTAATTATGATATGTAATGATGAAAATAATAACAAAAATAAAATAACAAGACACAGAAGCAGAAGTGTTA